AACAAATACTCCATTTGTCTTTATTTAGTGCCAATGAATGAGTGTTAACTTTTCTTTTCTACTGTAGAATTGATCCAAAGCAAGCCCATTCCTTTATTTTTGATAAATGTGGAGCGTGGGAAGGAATGATGGGTAGTAAATGAAAGTGGAGGTGACTTGAATTTGAAGAAGAGCTTTTAGTTTTAATTTATGCATGCCATTGAGTTCATTCGCATATGGGATATTCTCAACTGCTAATCATGGCTTCTGTTTAAGCAAACAAAAGATGAGCAATCCTAGGGCAATATTTAATTCAATTTAGCGTAAGTGGTAAACCAAAAAAAAAAAGACAGATGATTAAGATTGTTGTCGTCTTATGAGCTAGTTTTTTGTTATAAACATGAACTTCTGTCGGAAATAGACAATAGAATAAACAATGAGACCCCAAACCCACAATTATCTTCTTTTAATTTTTTTACTTTGAATTTAAATAAATTTTCTAAATTTCGATTAAAATCAATTATGTATATCCTAAAAAATTGTTAAATCTCTTTGTTGCACTATCATCACATCAATCTCATAAAATATCACGTCAATTAATTAACATATTAACACTATAATGATTATTATGAGTTAATTTCATCGCACGTCTTCAAATTACGATCTTTATTTTAACTTAATCCCTAAACTTTAAATATTTTAATTTGATCCATAAACTATCCTAAATTAGTTTTTAAACTTTTAAACATTTAAGTTTTATGCCCAAACTATAACCTTTATTCTAAATTAGTTCTCAAACTTTTTGAACATTGCAATTTAATTCCAAGTTATATGTATATTCTAGTCATATTCATTGTTAATAAAATTGTTAGGCCAAGTTATATAATTATATGTTTGAAAAAAATAAAATTTAAGTTAAATTATGGTTGAAACTAATAACATATTTGGATGAATTTGGGGATGAAATTGGAATATTCAAAAGTTTAAGGACTAATTTAGAATAAGAGTCCTAATTTGGAGATGAAATTTAAATATTCAAGAATTTAATGATCAATTTAAAGTAAAGATAATAGTTTAGGGACATGGTGCAATTAACTCGATTATTACTAGTAAAAATGATATTAATATAATTAAATAAATTTGTAGGCAAAATTAGTATAATTTAAAAAAAATAGAAATAAAAATATCAATTTGAATTTATTACATAGATATAAATTTTTAAATATATAAAAAGTTAAAATAAATCAAATATAAATATATATATATATATATATATATATAATTCACTTACACTTTGTAAAACTCTTTTAGTTTTGCATATTTTTAGGACCAGTGGATTGAGGAAAATCAAAATGTTGAGATTAACTCTTTATTTTTTTTCTAGTGAATATCTTCTCATTTTCTACTATAAATCTCAACCTTTAATTTCTCTCATCCAATTATCTTAAAAAATGTAAAATTAAAAATATTTTATACAGTATAATTACATCCTCATGTGGGGAGCAATTAGTGTTGAATAAGGCAATGAATAACTAAAAATATACTTTTTAAAATTTGGAACCCCAATGTCACCTGAATTGCGTCTTTGACCAAACAATGTATACTACCAGTCAATGACTCACTCAAGTGTCATTGAAAAACGACTAGAAAAAAAAATATAAATATCAATCTTTGAAATTAGATTTATTTAACTATACCTTTTTATAAATTGATTGAATTAAATGTCTGAAATTGTATATATATGGAATTTCTTTAAAAAAATTAAATTAAATATTAATTGAATTTAGTTTGATTGATATTCTTATCGATACATTATATATTATACATAATAACATAGAATTCATAATATTTAAATGCTCAATATTATCTTACTTATGAGTAAGGGGAGGGGCGAAGTAATATATACATTGTATAAAATATTGTCTAGTTGCTTCGTTTCTCATTATACTATAATGTTGTCCCAATGGAGTTATACCGGAAACTGTTCATCCTGGCCATTGATTCCGGAATCTCACTCTTCTTCAACAAGCAGGCATGAAATGAATATAAATATATTGCAGAATGTGTTTGATGAGCTTGGACCACAGCTATGGCAGTCATCTTGGAAATTGTGGACATGCTTATGATTAACATCTATTTATATATTATATATACCGTAAAACAAACATACTCAAATGTTACCTCAAGAAAAGAGTTGTCCATAATCTAAGGAGGCTAAGCCTGCATAAATCTTTTCCATGTGAGGGATTAAGGAGTGACTACAAAGTTTTAGGACATCTCATCATTCTTGCATGTCAAAAACATTCATAAAACCAACATGCAAATTCCCACCTTCGGAAATGGAGGATAATAAAAGAATTAATCAAGTCGACTCGAGCAGAGTCGAATGAGGTAGAGTCAGTATCAGATTCTTACATTACAAAAACACGTAAACAAATCTAATTCAAGATGAAAGATAAGATAAGATTTGTAAATATTAAAAATTTTATGTAAATATGATGTAGGTTTCCGGGCACGGAACTTAGATTAAACATCAGAAGGGGTTAATTTATTTAACTTCAAAATACCAAGTAACCAGTAAGGATTTAAACCTAAAAATTGGAGGAAGCGAGGCTTAATTGAGCAATATTTAAAGTAATAGGAACCTAAAGTGTCATTTGAAAAAAGAATATGAGGGGGGAGGGGGGAAAGAAACCCTCTCAAGCATTACATGGTTCCGTTCCTGTTCCTCTTAAACTTGACTACGTAAACTGGCTAGTCGGATCGATGTGAACTGTTTTCATTGTAAACTTATATACATACATTCGATGCGTATGTGAATTAAATACGAAGATTTGAAATGTATAACAATTTTAAATACGACATGCATACGTATTGATGTGTTAAGTGTGGAGAAATAGTTAGTCAAAGTAGATAGTACAATTGCCTATACATGCGGGTTCGCTAAACACAAAAACATGAGTTAAATGCGCATGCAAGCATGCAGAACCTTACCATTAATTAATTGATACTTATACAATATTATATATGTGTGTGTGACCGCTAATTAATGGCCTGTTAAGCGATAGTAAGAATGAGTTTATAATCTCTAAACATAGCTAGTGGGCAGGAATCGGTCTGACAGAACAAAAAGAAAAGGGCTGCCACAAAAGAACAGCTAGAAAGGCCAATTTTGGGGATTGGGAATGTTAAATATAATAACACCCATATACCATTTATGCACAATATATATATATATACAAATATTATATATAGGTTCAGTTCCTACAATCCTGGCAATTGAAGTAACTAAAAAGTATGAGAATGCGCTAATACAACAGATGACCATAAAAGGTAAAGAAGAAATTAGCAAGGGATTTGTTTTAAGATGAGTGGGGGAGTTGTCATTTTAAAGGCATAACGTTAAAATTGGTCCATAATGTTTATTACAATAATTATTTTGTATCATATTTTTTTATAAAATATTTTATTTCTCATTGTTCCATTTTGGGATAAAAAATCCATTTGTAGATGAAAACTGTTATTTAACAAACGGTTAACACTCCAAAATATGAGTTCTTTTACTCTAAATTGAAATGTCGAGGGGCAACATGCTCTAGAAATAAAGAATAAGGGTTAAAACGACTATTGATCAAATGTCAGAGGTCTTTTTGCACTCAAATAAAACATTGTAAGTCAAAATGCTCCCAAAAAAGAATAGAAATCAAAAGGATCATTTTGATAAATGTTTGGGGGGCTAATTTTGACATTATGCCTATTTTTAACTAAGAAAATTAAATAAATTCAATCAAGTTTTCAATGTCCAGTCGATTCGAACTCTAGTTCGATTTTTTAAACAATGGTGATGGAAATAGGTTTGCCCTTGGGAGACAACTTGCTTGGGGAGAGTGAGGTGCTAGTGTAGAGGTATAAATTCACATATTCTTTATAAACATTACGTTTATTTAACTGCAAATATATATAAAAAAAAAGAAATAAAAATCACAGTCGTTTCCTTTGTATAGAGCATAGGCCATAATTCACTAATTCACTAATTCACTAATTCACTAATTCAATCATAAATGCACAATGCTCAATAGCAGTAGCACTATCTGAACCTCTGAATTTTAACCAGAACTTAGCTGAGAAAAAACCTGTCTTATAGTTAACGTTGAAGTTTTTTTTTTTGTGTAAATTCCACTGAGGATTAAAGAAATACACCATCTGAGATTGTCCATGTCTTGCCTTTTCTTGGAGTCATAAAGTATGAACATGCTTTATCTCTATATAGGATATATAAAGAAGACAAAAAAAAAACTGATTAATTAACTGGAAAGTGGAATTAAGTTCTTTGTTTGATCTTGGTTCAATCGTACACTTCGTTGACAAATCAAAGACATGGGTTTTTTGCTCTCATCTTCCACAGCATGACCTAATCAGTAAACTACTGAAAAAAACCAACCTTTTTGTATCATTCACTCAGCATAAAGGCGTTATATATATGGAAATATGTATGTATGCATGCATGTATGAATGTGAATGTTTGTATGTATGCAATCATTAGTGTTTTACAAATAGCATGTTCCGCAAACAAGGTAACAACTTGTAGCTGTTGTAAGAGAAGACAAGTGAAGCTTCATTTTCATTAGGTTCAACTGGCAACTAGGCAACTTAACAAAGATAGCCTTGTGTTTTGTTTCAAATACCAAAAATTTTTGGCTAAAAAAAGGACAGATAGGCTCGGAAAATATAAACAAAACTAAAACAAATAAGTGGTCCAGGCGTGCCAAGATCAGCTCTGTGTGTGTGTGTGAAGAAGCGAGCTGTGAGGGCACTCACGTGTGGCGAGGTTTTCTTTATATATATATACACGCATGAAGAGAATACTCCTTGTGGAGAAAGTAGTAGTAGTCAAGCAAGAAAATATTAAGCTTCTTTGCAGTGTTTTCACCCTTGTTATAGGTCTTGCTTGGGAAGCAAAGAGACAGTACTAGAAAGTGAATCCAAAGTATACATAAACAAAGAAGCTTGTTATATAGTTAATGGAGATGGAGAGTGAAACACAGCAGTCAAAATTTAGGAGGGTTTGTGTGTTTTGTGGAAGTAGCCAAGGCAAGAAGAGTAGCTACCAAGATGCTGCTATAGAGCTTGGTAGAGAATTGGTAGTTAACAAAAAGCTCTGGCCTTTTTTTCCCCCATTTTTTTGTATGTTTCTTTTAGTTTTCTTTACACAAAATGGAACTTGTTTTGATAATTTTGTTGTTAGGAACATGATCTTTTTTACTAATATGGAGGAAAATGGGTTCTGAAAGTTGGTGAAAGCCGTAAACTTTCGTTTCGTATAGTGTTTGTAACATGTTTGTGAACTGGTTTATGGTAACTGGCATTTTCAAAATCCCTCGAGTTTTTAGCTTTCTGTAAGCATGTTTCTCCAAAGCCCCTGTGGGAAGTTTCAATCATTTTTCGACTTTTCTAGATGTCTATTCATGAGGTAGAAACGAAGGGTACTGTTCTTCTCTGGAACCCCATTAAATTATTAAAAGTTTGGAAATTTTAATGAACAAAAAAGTAATAGTGCGTTGAATGAACCACCCACACCCAAAAAAAAACATCCTTTTCAATCTTATTGTTGGGTAGTCTTATGTATTTTCTCCGAAGGAACATTGATTTTCTCAAATAAGTGCATTGAAGATAACATCCTTGAACTTTGAACCATGGTCACATTCCTTCCTTTTAGTTCTCTAAAGTCTTTCATTCTAAGCCTTGTTTGATTCTATTGTTTTGCAGGTTTCAAGGAACATTGATCTGGTCTATGGGGGAGGAAGCATAGGTTTGATGGGATTGGTTTCACAAGCTGTTCATGATGGTGGCCGCCATGTCATTGGGTAATCTCTAAGTTTCTTCGTTTTCTAAGACAACATTGCCAACATGTTCTTAAGAAACAAATTCATTGAAACAGCTCTGTTTTCTTCCTCATTACACAACTTCTTAGTTTTGGGTTCCATTATAACTGATTTTTTTGTCTTGTCACTGCAGAGTTATTCCCAAGATGCTCATGCCACGAGAGGTACGTCTGCTGCATGTTTTTTCACTATTTTTTTAATAAAAAATTTGCTATCTTTTCATCATCCATGGTGTTGGTTTATTTGTTTTTTTTTATTTACTTTCATTTCAAATATGGTTCTCTCTTTGCTTTTGCTTCTGATTTCCTCTACTTGTCCATCGCTATGATTGGCAAACTTTTCTCTTTCGTATTCTTTTTCACCAATATTTTTTTTAATATTTTCTTTTTTGGCTTTCTACATTTCTCTGGTTCTTTGAAGAAGACTTGATAATTATAATTGCAACTTGCCACTTTACCTTTTTCATTTCCTGTAATGGGATCATAATGTAAATTTGGTTTATTTTCTTTTCCTTTTTGTTTTTTCTTTGTTGGCCTTTTCTAACATTTGGCGAGAGGGGGTTGGCATTTATGTAGGCTAAAACATGCATTGGATAGGGACAATTCTCAGAATTGAACTCTTTGAAATCTTGTCATCTATGCCTGCAAACTCTCATCATTGCTCTCTCTCTCTCTCTCTCTCTCTCTCCAGGTTTCAGTACTCTTATGTGTTTTTCTATGAAAAAACTTTGCAGTTAACTGGTGAAACTGTAGGGGAAGTGAAGGCTGTTGCAGATATGCATCAAAGGAAGGCTGAGATGGCTAAGCATTCAGATGCTTTTATTGCCTTACCAGGTTAGCATCAACCAAAGGCAAAATCAATGAAAAAAAATTGAAGCTATTTAGTCCTTTTACTTCAATTTCAGCATGCAAATTTGACCATATCTCATGTGTTGCTGTAGTTTTTTTTTTATACTGCTAGCTATTTTTGGTACCTGCTATATGCTGAAAGCAACTACATGATGCCTGAAATTAATGAAATTATCACAACTTTTTTGAGTCTTTCACTTACATCACAGACCCCCAAGAACCCATGGTTAAAGATTAGGCAGCCCTTCAGACCCTGGTTCTTGACCTATCGACGTCTTGACACTGAAAATTAGACCTTTCTGAGGAACTCCCTTTCCTTCTTTTTTTCCCTTACCATATTAAGGGTGTAAGGAGTAAGGACATCCTTAAAACTTTCACTAAAGAGTGTTTGCCAACTAGCACCTGCATTTAAAAGGGAATCTTGTTTACCTCTTTCAAAAGGCTACTCCTTTTAGTTCTTTTTCAGCAAACTTTGAATTTCCAGCAATGGGAACTCAGTCATTATGATAAATCAAATGGGAAAAAAACTATGTAAGGTGATAATGATGTAGAATGAGAGGCATTGTGGCATGAATGAACAGGGAGAGAGAGAGTTATGCCTCTATTTTCACAAAAGATGGGAGGGAACAATAAATGCCTTGTTTTTGGAATGTGGAGCAAAAAGATGGGGGTAAATGATAGTCAAGGAACTCCTTGTTGTGCATGCCATGAACTTGAACTTCTCTTTAATAATCCTCATCATTACTCCTTAGTCTTAGGAATTGCACTACACTTCATATTATTTACCCTTTTCATATGCTGAATTTAATTATCCAAACTAACCTTAAATCTAGTTGTTTTAATCATATTATGTGCCCCATCCCTTTTTCTCACTTTTTGATTGGATAAAATTGAATCATAGATGTCACTGCTTTTGAATACCCTTGTGTGTCTTCTTGTCTTTCAAATCATGTTAGCCACCATAAATGATGTTCTGTCCAATGAAAAAGCATCTATGCATACTCATATTCGATATTTACACCCGAGTCCGAATAATGTGATTTGGTTGCAAAAAGTATAATGGATAAAGGAAACTCATGAAATTCATGCAGGTGGATATGGAACTCTTGAAGAATTGCTTGAAGTGATTACTTGGGCTCAGCTAGGAATACATGATAAACCAGTATGTCCCATTTCCCCCTTACAAACTGATCATCATCCATGGGACTTAGCAATAAATAAATGCATAAATTTCCACAAATCTTTTTCAGGTTGGCTTACTGAATGTCGATGGATACTATAACTCGTTGCTTTCGTTCATCGATAAAGCCGTGGAAGAGGGATTTATTAGTCCGAGTGCACGCCAAATCATTGTCTCTGCACCCACGGCTAAAGAGCTAGTAAAGCAATTAGAGGTATAATAAACTAATGAAAACCCCTTCACATACTCTATACTTTCATTATACCAGGTATCCGATTAACGGGCGGTCCGGCATTGAACTTCGCATTAACCCGTGGATACTTAATATTGCAGGAATATGTGCCCTGCCATGAAAGTGTTGCTTCAAAGTTGAGCTGGGAGATGGAGCAATTTGGCTACTCTCAATCATATAACTTGTCCAGGTAGTACTTGGAGGTGCACGGAGGAGAAGGTATATATGGAAATTGTTAAGGCTCTTGGGAAAAAAAAGACTTGAAATTTTACTTCAATGGGGGGAACTCTTATTTTTGTTTGTAAATCACTGCCATTGACATCAATATATGAAAACCTTCTCTTTTTACTGGAAAATTGATTCTCTTTACTAAATTCCAAGTACAAAATGCTGATGAAGAGTGCCCTTTTTAGTTTGTTTAACCAAATCATGTTCATCAAATTATTCACGAATATTATTCAAATTCAAATAAAAACGAGATGAATTTAAAAAACTAATCAAAACCAATGATGACATGACACAAAGAAGATGCAGTAAAAAGTGGGAGGGCCAAGAAGATGTAAGAAACATGTCTCTGTCTTTTCTTTTAAATGTAAGAAACATGTCATTTGACACTCAGAATGTCCTTTTTGTTTGGGTGCAAAGGTTTGATGGTAGGCTAGGCTAGCTAGGGACACACCCGACATATATAGCCCAACTGATGAATGCCAATAACGGAAGGTTAGCCAGGGGCCAGAGCCGCTTTGGTTTCACTGTTGCTACTCCAACCCTACAGTCTCCATGTGAGTTGTGGGTCAGATTTTAATTAAGAAAAAAAAGAAAAACAAGTAAGGCCTATAGGTTAGTTTTTTAAATCAGGTAGTGGTTACTAATTACTTTAAATTTTATTCTTAAATTTAAGCTCATATCAATTCTTTCTTTTCTTTTTTACAAATATCACCTTGTAATCATATGAACTATTAAAAAAAATTATATCAATTATTTTGGGTAAACTGCATATTCAAAACTCCACCCATCACTTTTATTTTATTTTGGTCACCCGGCTATTATAATTTTCAAAATCGTACTTAATATTATGTTTTAGTTTCATTTTGTTCATCTGCCGTTGAAAAATTAACAAAATTACTAATGTTAAATTTAAAAAAAAATAATAATTATGATGACTGACATTATCTTATGGTGATATGTCAGTATCACTATTAATTTTTTAACAGTGGTGACCAAAATATAACATTAGGCATGATTTTGAAACAAAAAAACAATAGAGTGATTAATACGAAATAAAAGTGATAGTTGTGGTACTAAATGTATAGTTTACTCATTCTTTAGTTAACAATGTACACATCAAGCATACATGTAACTACTCGAACTCAAAATTTCTAAAAAAACATTTTCTTTTACCACTAAAATAATTTAATAAATTTAATTTAGGTTATTTTAGATTTAAAATCAAAATCAGTTTGAAATTGATGATGGGATGAATTTAATTTGTTAACGTTTATAATCAAATAAAAACAAATTTCAATAATTATGTCAAAATAAATAAAATCTAAATTCATTGAAATATAAATTAGGAGAAGGAAAATCCATGTTTTCATGGGCGGAGTCATGTATTAAATTGAAGCGTGATTTGACGTTTTGGAAGGCAAACAGTTTGTGAGGTCCCCGTTTTCGTTGTCAGTAAAAGCTTATGAAGTTGACTGATGCCATCTCCATTGCTTTGTTTGAAAGATTCACCGGTGGTTAGACAGTCACTTCCCAGATGCTTTTGATTTTTCATATCTCTACTGTTCTTTTTTATTCAAATCAATCTCCTCTTTTGTTATTTAAAAAGAATCGAATCTAGAATTTGTGATTAAAAACCATAAAACCCAACACATTGAATTGCTAAAAATAATGTATACATGACATTGCAGATAGAATCTCACTCGAGGCATGTGAAAAAACAATCACAGCGTCAACTTATGTCGGCCTCCTATAGTTGTTTTCTTGAGATGGGTAGATTGCTTTATAGCCATTAAAGTTGTATAACAACAATCCAAAACTTGAGCGTTCAAGAAATGCGACATGTTCTAAGCAGAAGCAGCTCGGTGCTCGAGCTATCAATGAGGTAAGACGATCTTAATCAGTACGTATTAAAAAGTCTTTTCGCAAACCTATCGTTAATAAGAAATTCAGCTCCATGATTGAAACCCAAAACAAAGTCTTAATTGCAACGGAAAGAAAGAAACGAGTCAAAGCTTCGAAGAAACAAAGACTTAAGGAAAGAGTGTGATTCGATTTAACTCTTAGCGAAATGGTGTCCTTCGTTCTCGTGTACATGGTGGTGGCACTTTCATATATTTTGAGATGCTCTTGTGGGGGTCTCCTTGGTCGTGCCTGTAGAAGTAGCAGCGGTTGGATCCTTGAATTATAGCAGTGGTGGCATAGGTGTTTAGCTTGAGTCGGGCACCGGTTTATTTATGAGAGGTCATCAGGTTTTGGTTTTAGTCTTGCTGCAATTTCGGCCGTGGGTTGAGTTTTCGTGTAGTTTTGGGTCGTTATTTTGGGTAATAGATTGTACCGGATGATGAATGCTTTGTTTTTGTTAGAGGTTCGCTATGGATTTTGGTCGTTTGTGTTTAGCTTTGTTTGACATTGATTCGGAACAATCTTTTTATTCCACTTAAGTTTAAGGAGGTTTTTTAACGATTCTCTAATCTGTCGTTATTTTGTATATTCGATTAAAATTAATAACATACAAAATGCCCTTTAAAAAGAAGAATAAGAAATGCGACAATGGCAAAATAAAAAATTAAAAACAAATTATGTTAATAGTTTTTTTAACTACGGGTATTTGATTGATAATATTTAGATAGTTAATTGATTTGATTGAATTAAAATCAAAATAGAACCTGTCATAGTATAATGACTATACATGTAATTTACCCTTTTTTCTTACATAAAATAACATAGATGACCAGCATTATAAATGCAAGAGACACCTCCGACATAAAAAAAAGAAAATATTGAAAAAAAAAATGTGGTTTAAGCTTTTATATGACGAGTTTAGATAAGATTGATATATCATATATCAACATCCATGTACGAAGGTCGGAAGTTAATCCATTACGTGTGGAATTATGATTTATGAACCGAACGCTGGTTTAATTATCATTATAGTCCCTCCGTTATATATGCTAAAGTGCGGAAAATAATAATTTTACATTAAATTGGCATAATCTGATCCCTACGCCAATAGTTGGTGTCATTAAAAAGTAAGGGTAAACTACATGATTAGTCACCCAATTATTAGTGTATTCATGTTTTGGTCAATCTTTATTTTTAATCAATATGATAACATATTTACTCCTCAATACTTATATATTCTCATAATTTGACTTTATTCTTAAATAATTTAATATTTTTTTCTTATACATTTATAGATTTTACCAATTTAATCCTCAAACACAAAGAATTAACTGATCGGTTGAATTTAGACGAGTGTCAAACTTTCCGCAAATAAAGAAATCAATTTAATCTTTACAACTTCAGTGTCCGCAGTGCTTATGAGAAACTCACAGAACACCTTTGGGACGCTGTTAACCCCAACTGGAAGATGATTTGGAAACTTCTAATTCCCCAACGGAATCGAGCCTTCCTCAGGCTCGTCTTGAAAAATCGCCTCTTGACTAACTCTGAGCCTTGTAGGCGGGGTTTGGTTAGTGACCCTCTTTGCCCTTTGTGCAACTCCCATGCTGAAACCCCTCTTCACGTTCTTCGTGAATGCCATTCTGTTCGTGCTATTTGGGCATGTCTTGTCCCATCTTCCCTGCATCCGGATTTCTCTAGTAGTCCCCTTACTGCGTGGCTCCATACCAACCTTTCGTCTTCATCAAGCTCCTGGTGTCCCAATACCTTGGAATATGCTCTTTCCCACAGTCTTGTGGTACACTTGGAAACGACGGAATTCTTTCTTGTTCGAGGACTCTTTCTTATCAATGGATGAGGTTCTCACCTAAGTCTCGCCTGGTCTTCGGTTTACGACACTGCTCATCAAACAATAGCCGCTCCTCCTCCCCGTCAAGTGAATCTGATAATGTGGTCTCCTCCCCCCGAGTCCTGGGTCTGCCTCAACGTGGATGTTTCGGTCGATATCACCTCAAGCTTCAGCTCGGTTGTTGGGGTCTTACGGTCAAGTGATGGCAGCTGGCTTCTTGGTTTTTATAAACCACTCGGTATAGCTTCTACACTCCATGCTGAAGTGTGGGCAGTTTTTATAAAGTGGCTTGGGGTCATGGTTGTATGGCTGTTCAGGACTTCAGGTCCAATCTGATAATCTGCATATCATTCAACTTCTCCAAAGCCCGGACATTAGTGGAGCTCACCTCCCCCTCGTTGCAGTTATTTTATTAAGAGACTCTGAAAATTCTAAATAATTCTGTCAATTCTCTTAAAGTCGGTTATTATAATTCTCTGTTGCATTATTTATGAGTGGACAGCCTAATATACGGTTAAGAAAATGCATTATCAGAAATATTATTATTATTTTGATATTTTCGATAAATTGTTACCTAAAACATTATTTGTTCTACCGGAAATGTTAATTTCACTAGCTAATTTCCGGTAGAAAAAATAATGTTTAAGTAATGTTCAATATTAACATTCCGATAGAACAAATAATATTTTAGGTAATGTTTTACCGAAAATGTTAAAAAATAATAATATTTTTGATAACTCTTTTTCTTTAGCCGTATATTAAGCTGTCGCACCTAAGATTTACCGTTATTTCTCATTGATCGATTACCACAACTTTCTCGGGCCACGACAATGATGTTGGCTTTCCAGACACTTCTCACTTCTCATTGAGTCACACCTCCTCATACAAGGGCCACTACAATGTTTTTAACCACCGCTCTAGAAATTATTGACAATCATGAATAATTTTTTAAAAAAATGAATTGAAATAAATTATGCCCTATCCTGCATAAACTAAACAGGCAGTTTAATCCTTGAAGAATAACCCGCTTAATGCATATATTTGTTGGTTTTTGGCAAATATTCCACATTGGTTTTGTATAAGGAGGAGGGGAAATTCTTTTGTTATAAATAGAGCACTCATCCTCCTTAGTTTAGCATCCCACAAATATAAGCCTTCTTCTATATTAAAAGATATTTGTATTCTTTCTTTCTCTTTATAATATTTCCTCTACTAGTGAAATATTATTTTAGTAGTGTTCGAGGAGGTAGGCATAATTTTGGTATAACCTCGTTAAATTTTGGTGTTCTCTTTATGTCTATTTAATAGCTATTATCGGGTATAGTTGTTGTTAATTATTGTCCTATTA